TTGAACTTTGATGTGTTTTTACTTACTCAATATTAACATAATTAACTTTCTATTTGTTTTGTTAAAAAAATCAATATATATATATATATTGAAAGGTTCTATATATCTATAGATTCCATAGTCATTTCTGTAACTTTCTACCGTTTACTTTTTACAGCCTTCAATATGTTTATGTTAAAAAGCCTTCAATGTGTTTTTTTTTTTTTTTTTTCTATATTCATGCAAGTCGTATTATGTTAGTGCCGATCACATGCATCAAAAAGTGGAGTATAAATAAGACTACAAATTTTAAAAAGGCTCCATATTCTCGAACCACCAGAGTGTTTGGATTTCTTTAATAGACTGAAAGTCGGGTTAATTTCTTAGAAAATAGATGAAATGACTTCTAAGAATAAAAAGAAGATTCAAAGCTTTCAGTTCTGGGGCTCTAGTTTTGTCCTCTACTCTGACGTGGCCCTGTAAAAACTTAACACCTGTCCCAAAAAAAATGGATCAAATTAGTTACCCGTTAGTTACCCGGATTAAGATCCATCACAGAAACCCATTTTCTCGCTCCTTCAGTCCTTTGTTTTTTTTGGGAAAGTCTCTCCTTCAGTACTTTCATCTTCGTCGGTCACCATTCTGAATCCTCCATTCCACCAGCCAAGTTCAACCCACCTTGCCGCAAGTCAGCCGCAGTTCATCCACAACCGAGCTTCTCCTTGCTCTCCGGCGTCGCGCCACAAACCCACATAAGAGTAGCCTCGTGATTTTTTTATTTTTGTCCCCAACAAACTCTTCTTCCCAACTAAAACTTTTCTATAACTGCTAGAAGAAGGCATGTGGGTCAGATGACGGCGAGAAGAACCCAGACAATATAGGAGCTAGAGTTGCCGGTGCCGACGACAAGATCACCGGATTCTGAGAGGATCCCCGGCTGAGATCGGGTCGGCGATGAAGTTAATCAACGGCGTGAAGATGATCCCTCTGGTGACTCCGACCCCTGAGTTTGGCGACGGCAGGGATGTCACCGTTGAAGACGGAGACAATGATTCTGTCGATGGTGGAGTTAGGCGATGCTGGAGTTAATGAAGGTAACAGATCTGGAAGCGGTGATGGATCCGGTAGAGATAACTGGTTCGGCCGGCTGTGATGATCTCTGTAGCCGGCAAAGATGGAGATGGTGGTTGAGACAGATCCGGTGACTAGATAGCGGGTCGTCGACTGAGCAAAGAGTTGAAGTGGCGAGGGTGTGAGAGAACAGATCACCGTTGGCGATGGCGACAGATCGCGACAGCTACACAAGCTCTGAATCCCTCGAATCCGACCAAGGTGGAGCCGGATCCCGGAACGATGGGGTTTTCTGGTGGTTCCTTCAACGGCGGTTGATATATATCAATCGGCAGCTAAGGCTCCGGAGCTGAGAGTTTGCGGCGGCTAATCGAGGTGGAGACGAGAGAGATCCGGCAGAGGGTTTTAAGATCGAAGGCTCGATCGTGATGGAGCCAGTCAGAGGTAAGCTTGCCGGTGGAGGGCTTGGCTTCGGATGATGGCGGCCATGATGGGAGTGGCTGACTGACAACGGCGGCGACGGGCTAACTTCGAACGGTGGCAAGGACGGTTCGGTTAAGGATAACTCGAATGTGGAGAGCTTAGCCATGAATAATCTGACCGGCGGTGGCGCTAGCAGACCGGCGAGGATGAAGATGGTGTGGGCTTGCAACGGTGCTTGGAGAGAAGAAAAGAGAGGAAGAACTGAAGGAGAGAAAATGGGTTTGTCTGATGGATCCTACCCAGATAACCCAATTTGATTCAGTATGATTCATTTTTTATATTTTGGATAGGTGTCAAGTTTTCATAGGGTAGAGGACAAAACTTGTCCCGATAGGGCAGAATCCAAGCATTGCTCTTCTTTTTACATCTTTTTCCATACCGTCGCAGCTCTTGTTTAACTGACAAGATTAGCTGTGAAGTGACATGGAATATGTGTGTACATGGAAATGATGTGATTTGAGCATCATGCATTTAGTCATGTAGGACACTCAAATATAAAGGATGTAAACTAAATTGCTCAATTCATGACTTTTCACCTAAATCATGAGATACTTTACCACTCTATTACTTTTCATTGTATCATAAAACCATGTCGTTTCGATACACGCTTAACTCCTTAATTATATTAAGACACAATAAATAAATAAATAATTTATAGGGCAAGATTGTTAGATTAGAAGTTACAGGTTCAAAGAGTCGAAGTCAAACTCACAAGGACAACGAAGAGCAACCCAATCGTTGGGCTACGAAGGTATTCACGAAGATACAATACTTTACCATCCAAAAAAAAAAAAAAAAAAAGAAGAAGAAGAAGAAGATACAATACTTTACTTATTACCGAGATGCAACATACCGCAATATCATTTTATCAAAAATTAATATAAGTATGAAATACTATTACACCGAAAATGTGATACTATTACATCGAGAAGGTTGCAAGCGTTACATTCTCAATATAATAGCATTGAGTGGGCTCATATAAATTCGTGATCATAGGGCTCGTATTGGCTCACAAAAGGGGATGGTCATTTTGTCCACTCTGCCCAGATTTACTCTTCTTGTCCTAATGGTGTATTTATGCTCTAAATATACTCGATCATAAAGAGGATATATATAATATATAAATTTTCATCTTCAATTGTTTAACAACTTTTGAGAAAATAAATAAAGGATTTTATGATGATGCAATAATTACAACTTCCTGTCAAATTTTATTTTTGAGGGTTAATTTAATAAATAAATAAATAACCTTTGCAAGCCTTAATTACTAAAATGTAAACGCTCAAAAATAACTCCCTCTAAAAACAATTTAGACAATAATTATTAGAAATATGTCAATTTTCACTGTTAGTGAATACATGAAGATCAGATTACTCATAAATACCTTCTTAAATTTACTAAATAACCATTATTTACATTATTACTTCTTTTTTTCATCTTATATCTCCTCCTTTAATTAGCAATCTCTTTGTCTTTCTTCTCCTTCTCTCTCTCTCTCTCTCTCTATCGATCGATCGATCTTGCGCACCGGCAAATACATGGAGACCTAGGGCACATCACTCAGTCGAGCAATTCCATCTCTCAAACCGGCAAAGGCACACCTAAGGCATATCACTCAGGCCGGCGAAGACACAACTAGGGCACATCACTCAGTCACTTTCCATTGCGCTGTCATCGCTCAAGTATATAGTTAAGATTTTATTTATTTAACCCTTTTGACACACACTACAACTCCTCTTTCCTCCGGCAAATTGTCTCCTTTCTCTTGCCGAAATTTACAGTATGACAGATTATTTTTTGTTACAATGCACCGACGTAGCAAAACCTGCATAATTTTTTTTTTTTTTCAATATTGTAGAATGTAAAACGTGTATTGCACTAATGTAAAACTTTTACTGCAATAAAGTAAAATGTTTACCGCATGTTGTCAAAGTTCAAAATATTTCATAGTATGGATACTCGGGTTTGAACGAGAGCAGAAAACGAAGACAAAGAGGAGTAATATTTGCCCTAGATGTGCCTTCGCGGGACCGCAAGGGAGAAGAAAACGAAGACAAAAGAGTAATGAGTTCTTAGATTGGTAAAGTGCACTGATGTAGGAAAACCGCAGAATTTTTTTTTTCAATGTTGTAGAATGTAAAACGTGAACTTCACTAATGTAAATCTTTTACTGCAATAGAGTAAAAAGTTTACTGCATGTTGTCAAATTTCAAAATATTTCACAGTATGGATACTCGGGTCTACAAGAGAGAAGAAAACGAAGACAGAGGACTAATACTTGCCCTAGTTGTGCCTTCGTGGGTCTGCACGAGAGAGAAAAAATGAAAACATGGATAGGAGTGGTGGGTTCTCGGATTGGTAAAGTGAAGTAATGATGTAAAGGGTTATTTAGTAAATCTCTTAAGGTATTAGTGGAGTAATTTGGTCTCTATGTTTTCATGAAAAGTGAAATTTGACATATTCGTAATAACTTTTGCCTAAATTATTTGTAATCACTCAGACCGGCGAGTAATTGTTGAGTGTTTATATTCTAGTAATTAAAGATTGCTAATGTGCTTTTTATTAAATTAACCCTATTTTTAATTGGTGCTACTTAGAATCATCTTACAAATATATTTATTCCTAGTTCTCTTCTTTCTTGATTTACCGATAACACATGTTCACAACCCTCCTTTTCTAGATTTGGAACCAACAATGTAAAGATAAAATTTTAAACATGATATGGTAGGTATTGGTCATCTCATTTGATATTTTAATACGACGATTTTTTTGGCCAAGGTAAATTTTAATTTGATGATTTTTGAAATGGGCCACTTAATATTCAACAACAAACAGTGTATTTATGATCACAAATGGTGTATTTATGCTCTAAATATACTCATAAAGAGGATGGTATTGTGGGTGTAATTAAGGTGATATACATAGTATGAGTATTAACTTATTATACTCCCCAAATTTCATTTGACTTTTCCATGTCCAAACCAAACCAATAAATGTCGCTATAATTTTACAAAAAGACCACTGACATTCGCATATAATATAAAGAAAACAACATAAAATTCACTAGGTACCATACACCCAAATATACTTAAAACTCAATAAAATCATTGTCTCACCATCCGTAATCAATCTTTTCATCATTCACATGCATAATAAATGGATATATATCTCAGTTGCTAGAACATCTTGGTTAGGATTAATTTATTCGGTGAAATTAGCTTCTTTCCAAGCCAAATACAATAAAACTTGGCCAAAGCCATAATGGAGCAGCAAGGGCGGCGCCTAAAAACTAAAATGTAGGCTAATTGAATGTACGTTGGGCGTTGGTATCGACTTTCAACTACTTGGACCCCTCTTCACAACTGCCCCTAATTGAACCGTCAAAACTATCTTGCTTATCTTACAAATTTTGTTACCCTCTCTCTCCTCTCTCTCTCTCTCTCTCTCTCACAACCACATGATACTATCATGCTATAGTGCCACCACCAACAACATGACCATCTTGCTCCATTCCTTTTTAAACCCCTCCTCCTTTCTCCATAACATAACACAGCTCACACCCGAAAAAAAAAAAAATTCCTCACACCACCTCTCTCTCTCTCCCTCATGGGTGCTCATCGCCATTTCGAACCGATCACAAAATGTAGCAATGAGGGACGATCCAATCAAACAGTGGCAGCAGACCTAGATGGCACACTTCTTGTGTCAAGAAGTGCTTTTCCCTGCTTCATGCTTGTTGCTCTCGAAGCCGGTAGCCTCCTAAGGGCATTAGTCCTTCTTGCATCGGTCCCATTCGTATATTTCATGTACTTGTTCGTATCAGAATCCATTGCCATCCAAACTTTTATCTTCATTTCATTCGCGGGCTTGAAAATCCGCAACATTGAGCTTGTTTCAAGGTCAGTCTTGCCCAAATTCTACGCGGAGGATGTTCATCCCCAGACTTGGAGAGTGTTCAATTCCTTTGGTAAGAGGTACATTATTACTGCGAGCCCTAGAATAATGGTGGAGCACTTCACAAAGAACTTTTTGGGGGCTGATAAGGTTCTTGGGACCGAGTTGGAAGTAACAAAATCAGGGAGAGCAACTGGATTTGTGAAGAAACCAGGTGTTCTTGCAGGAGAAAACAAAAGGGCGGCCATCCTAAGAGAATTTGGAACAAATTTGCCTGATTTAGGCCTGGGAGATAGAGAGACTGACCATGATTTCATGTCAATATGCAAGGTACAATGTCACAGATATAACTATTTTTATTTTATATCCTAATTTTTTTTATAAAAAAAAAAATTCTAATTAGTAGTTAAATATACAAGTAGAGCAGTACTTTACTACTTCTCCGTAAATGCATGTTCATATATATATATATATATATATATATATATATATATATATTGTGATACATTGATAGGCATGTGAATTCTTTTATGGTTAAAATTATTTGTCCATGAACATACATCTATCTTGTCACTTTTTACTGCCAAGCTGTTTCTTAGCTCAGTTTGGGTACAACAATTAAAACTTTTGTCATGACATATTTTTAATTGATATGGTTGGTGAGAGATTTATGAGCTAAATGCTTTGTTCATGAACTCTCTCTCTCTCTCTCTCTTGATGGAAACTTCATGCTTATTCTATTGGTCCACGTCTATTGCTTATTCTCCTCAATGGAAACTTCATGCTTATCCCATTGGAAACACAATTGGACAATGGATACCCACATGCACCTTCCATGACCAACCCACTTTTTCATTCAATCCAAGCCTTGGATTCTGTTTTTCGCTAAAAAAATGTTAAGAGAATAATAAATATTTTTTTTTCCCAAAATTTCTCTCCCCTTAATTAATTTAATTAATTGTGCATGAAGAAACACCTAATGGGTTTTATTTGAAAGAACTACATATATATTACATGCCTTGATTTATTTGTTCTTCTGAATGTTGATATATATATAGATGTTAATTTTGTTAATGACAGGAAGGATACATGGTGCCAAGAACAAAGTGTGAGCCACTACCAAGAAACAAGCTTCTAAGCCCTGTCATCTTTCATGAGGGCCGTTTGGTTCAAAGACCAACACCTCTTGTTGCTCTCTTGACCTTCTTATGGATGCCAATAGGCATCATTCTCTCCATCCTCAGAGTCTACCTCAACATTCCTTTGCCGGAGAGAATTGTCTGGTACAACTATAAGATCCTCGGAATTAAGCTCATCGTAAAGGGCAACCCTCCCCCCCCACCCAAGAAAGGCCAAAGCGGTGTCCTCTTAGTTTGCAACCACCGGACTGTCCTAGACCCCGTGGTCACTGCAGTCGCCCTAGGACGAAAAATTAGTTGTGTCACATATAGCATAAGCAAGTTTTCGGAGCTAATTTCGCCCATCAAAGCCGTGGCATTGTCAAGGGAGAGAGAGAGAGATGCAGCTCACATCAAGCAATTGCTCGAGGAAGGTGACTTGGTCATATGCCCCGAGGGGACTACTTGTCGCGAGCCATTTTTATTGAGATTTAGTGCACTTTTTGCTGAGCTCACGGATAGGATTGTCCCGGTAGCCATTAACACTAAGCAAAGTGTGTTTTATGGAACCACGGCTCGTGGGCATAAGTTTTTGGATCCATATTTTGTGTTCATGAATCCAATGCCAACTTATGAGATCACTTTCTTGAATCAACTACCCACTGAGCTGACTTGCAAAGGTGGTAAATCTGCAATTGAAGTTGCAAACTATATTCAAAGGGTGTTGGCTGGGACATTAGGGTTTGAGTGCACTAATTTGACTAGGAAGGACAAGTATGCGGTGATCGCCGGAACGGATGGCCGTGTTCCAAGCAAGAAGGAAAAGGATAACGAAAAGGAGAAGTCCTAATTAAGGAAAGACAGGAAGAAACTGGAAATTGAAACCATTGATTCTCTCTATTGTTTTCTCCGTGTGTTTTGAAAGTTTATCAAAACAATAAAATTAAGTATGGTCGATTGGGATGTTAATTATTACTCACTCCGTCCCTAAATAGAAGTTCATATTTAGAAATTAAAATTTTTAAGAGGACATACAATTAATGCATTATTTTTTTTTAAAAATTATCAAATTATCTTTTTTAATTTAAATATGTACAATTACAAAGTTTGAAATTTTTTCAAAAAAGTAAAGGACAATAAAGAAAATATAATGAAAAGATGTTTTGAGTTTTCAAAGACGACAATTAATTTGGGACATGTAAAAAGAAAAAATTGAACTACTAATATAGGACGGAGGGAACATACAATAACAGTTCTTGTAAATTGCCATTTGAAATATATAGATATATTAAATTAATGTGACTGAGAGTGAAAAATCTGAATGCTGTTTTTCTGATAAATGCTTTCCTGGTGGTTGCGATCGCGATAGATATATTGTTGGTGTGTGGTGGTTAAGACATAAATTCATACATATATAGAGACATGCCTATGTACAATCCAGTTGCAGTCTTAAATGTTTTGATTATGTAGGCATTTGAATAATTGATAATTTAACAGTAACCAAAAGCAATTGCTTTGTTTTTCTGCAGTGTCACCCCATTTTGGATCATATGTAGACCAAGAAGAGAAAAGATAAGATTAAATAAGAACCACACACTTAACTGCATGTGTTATGTTTCTAATTAACCAAGTCACCTTCTTCTCAGTGTAAGGACAAAATACGACGACTTTCAGTTTCAACTGCATGTTAAATTTGGCCCAAATAAAACATAAAATAAATGAACAAAAGTGGTCATATTTTGTTGCTTCAAAATTAGAGTTACACTAGCCTTGACTTTTCGCTTCAGATTGAGAATAACACTCAACCATAATTTGCAGAGTACGATTTCTTTTGATTTCGCCGGTAATAGGTTGCAGATGGTTGTACAAAACACAAAATAAATCTTCCCACCTAATTGTTTTAGGGGACAATTCGTTTCAATTACTTCTGTTTATTTAATGTCCCACGTTGTGTCAATTTATACGGAAGAAATTTTTTTTTCTCTCTTTTACTGAATCTCATTCGTCAAGGTTTGATTGCTATTAATTTCATTTTTTTTACTGAATTGTAAGAATAAACTTATAATGATAATGTGAAAAATTTATAAGAAGTAAATTTAAAAGCATTTAAAAAAATAAATAAATAATAAAAAATAAAATTAAAATTAATATTTTTGTAGGGTAATTATTCTCCACTTCCCAGGCAAGTTCTGGGATCAATCTTGTTTTGGTGAATAAAAAGGTTTTGATGAAGCTTATAGCAAAAGTACTGCTCTTCAATGGGTGAGGGACTTTCTTAATTCAAACAGCTCATCTTCGAGGGTCCCTCAATACGGACCCTCCTTTCTTGCCGAACAGCACGTGGTCCGACATCCGCACTCTGCTTGTATGTGTAGCTGTTGGGCCCAAATTGTCCTTATCATATCAAGGCTCTTAAATTGGACGCCGTATTTATCTATCAAATCAAGGCTCTGTTTAGATAGTGGACCCTATCGTCGCATGGGATTATCAACTGGTGGTTGAGTACGAATTATGGATCCAACGGTAAAAAGTTAAATTATTCAAATCTACGTAGAATCATCCGATGGTTAAAAATATCTCAATCTCATTCTGCCGCCTAAGTGTTGTAACGGACGAACGTTTATTTATTTATTTATTTAAAAATTTAAATTATTAAATAATATTACATATTTATTTATTTATACTCTTTTTAATTTTTATTCGAATTTGATATAGGACAGATACTCTTTATAATACTAAGAAACCATTTTTGTTAATACTCTTGGAGAATAGCGGCAGCGTAGAATCATAGCTAAAAAAATTTAATAGGCAAAAATTACTCTCAAACACCATGCTCATTTTTGTTCTTACTTTAAAAGATAATAATGTACATATACTACAAGAAGGCCCTTTATGGTTTTCATTCACTAATTTTTAAGTTCAAAAGAGATGTATAGTGTCTTTTATTAAATAAGAAATAGTAGGATACTACATAACCGTGATATTGAATATTTTTTCATTCTTGACATTAGACATCTATTTTTACCTATTTATTCAAATATTAAAAAACTTTAGAGTTGGTCATTTTAACATTATGACAATTATGATTGAAATTGAATCTATTGTTCCTTCTCAACCATGGATGAAATGAGTTTTGTTCCACCAAATATTAAGGTTAAAAATATAATTCTATTATTTAAATACATCAATTAATAAGTCAAGAGATAATAATGTCAATTTACTATGCACAAATGATCATTAGGTTAGTTAACTTTATCAAATTTAAGGGATGTCATTGTTAAAAAAGATCCAACTTATATATAATTATAATTATAACAAATTTTAGAGAACGTCAACATAATTTACCTAGTGTTTTATGTAAGTTGTTACATCAATTGATATCTGAAGATAGAAGAAAATTCTCTCTTTCTATTTTGACAGAGTATCATTACATTTTCAGATTTCTCCCCTTATTTTATGTCTATTTATAGAATGTTATAGGCGTTCCTGTAGTTTCATAATTTACCCCTCCTGTTGGACTCTATAATTGGGCTTCCCTTTGTTATGGGTTTAGTTCTTTCGTTATTAAGCTGGGCCTCACAATTGCTTTCTCTCTGTAATTGGGCCTGGTGATGAAAACTTAGTTTTGCCCAACTTCATTTGTTCGACCCGCTTCCAACCCGTTTATGACGATCTGGACCGTGTCCAACCCACGCCGATTTTGGCATCTTCAATATCACACAAAATTTAATATATTTTATTTTTATTGCTAGTGATAATAGTCGAATTTTTATATTCACTAATCCCTGCCCTTTAGATGTAAGTATGAATGGCCCAGTCACTATTTCATCTTGAGGAAGCCCAGCAGAACACATCCTGCTTCAGATTTGGTCTCAAAAGGTCCATCATTGGTTGTTTCATGGACGGCACCGTTGAAAGCGTTGCAAGTGTTGGAACGACCGTGCTAAAAAGGCTAATAAGGGTAATTTATCTTACATGCAATTCGGATAGGAAAGTAATTAAATATAAATGAGTAGATATGTAATATTATCCAAGAGTCAACCCATTACTGTTAATACCAGAGACAGACTCTGAGACTTAATTTTTGATCCGATATCAAGCCAAGCGTCCCGTCCAAAAGCCGTCCGGATGAGCCAGACTTAATAAGTAAGGTAACTCGAGTCGCAACGAGAGCGTTGCGAGTTTGAGTAGAAAATAATACATTTTGAAAGTTTGAATAAATGGGTAAACACCCACCCATTACACTAAAGTTTCATTTGTTTTGAAGCATCTAATCCACACATTACACTAGAGCTCCATCTTTTTTTGGAGCATCTAAATTAGAGATTTTCGGAAGTACTTTAGTTCTTAGCATACCCAAATAAAATCATTACATCACTCTGAACGTATTGTAGTGGTAGATGCAATTGGCCTCTAATACAAAAAAATAATTTATCTTTTTATTTTTAATTATATCAAAAAATTTGTCCCAATTAAAAAATTATGTAATATTATTATTATTAATTTTTTTTACATTATTCACCCTGAACCACCATAAATAAATTTAATAGTAATCCATTTGACTGACCGGACAAACTATTGAAAGAATATTTAATTTATCTTAGATTGAGACTGAGAGTTACCAAACTCAATATATTGAGATAGGGGGTGAATTTATTTGGGGTATAGTGCAGAAAACACCCCTAATATATATTTTTGGTAGCACTTTTACTTTTTGTTTGAAAAAGTGTGCAAATAACACTCTTAATCTTTTAATATGGTGCCAAAACACCCCTTAAATAAAAATCTGACTTAAAATTATGTTGTCATGCCCATTTTACCCTTTTAATTTTCCAAAAATACCCAAAAAAAAGTTTTGTGTATATTTTTTAACTTGATGGGTTGGCCCGTTTCAATCTGGGTCAGACCCAGATCAAAGTGGGCTTACCACATGAGATGGGATCTGTTTTGCTAACCAGAGAGCCCTCCCTCTCGGACATCAAGGTCGTCGCCGGAAACTGACCCAACACCACTGGCCTCATTCTCGGGCTGACAAACACCTCCCCTGTCACATTACTTCTCACAGCCTCCACGCCGGGAAAATCTTCGGACCCAGCAGAAACGTCCCAATCCTTCTAACCAGATCGTCGCCGCTGCCTCTGCCATTAGAGACTCCCAACACAACTCAAGCCTATTTATGACTCACTCATGGAACGATAACATCCCACCATCTATTAATCCTTCGTTGTCCTGGTACACCACCACGTATGGTGAAATTCGTTGGATATCAGTCAAAATTCCGATTCCGACAGTTGATTGGATAGTCGGAGAAAAAATAAAGACTGTTTTCTCACCATCCATGAGTCCGATTACTTTGAAAGATAAGAATTTAAAGGTACGAATCGAAACAAACTCGATATCGAACCCAATTTTCAACTCACAAACAAACTGACCTAGATTGTCTTTGACCAATCCCGATTCGATTCCCACTGTGAGCACCTCGCTACAATGTCTTCAATCTAACATTGTCGCCGATCAAGTCCAATACATTGCCGTAGAGAACAAAATCTTCCTCAAAGATCCATTTTTCACTCTACCAAACTCTTCAAATACCAAGTTGTGATAAGACAATCAAGCATTCCTCGCCCCATTCAGTGTGTCCATATTCAGATCCTGCCATCTTAAGCGTTGTTGTCCCTTTCTTCACTGTCTCATCGTTGTTGCCGGAGTATTCACTGGCCATCGTATTCTCTGACCGTCGTATTTGTCGTCATCAGAGCTTCCTTCAGTCACCGTCGGTTAGAGAGAGCAAGAAAGGGGAGAGATAAGGAGGCCCCAGTAACAAAAAAAAAAAAAACTCAGGTTGCTGTCACGTGGGCTAATGGACCAGTCCTCACTGGTTTTCATTTTTGTGTCCTTTTCTGTAATTTTACAAAATAATGTATTGTAAAATAATTTATTAAATGTCTCATAAAGGGCAATTTAGGCAAATTCTAACTTAAACTTGCAAGGGGGACTTATTTGCACCAAATCAATACTTTGAGGGTGTTTTGTGCACGTGAGGGGGTGTAATATGCACTGTAAACTTAGTATAGGGGTATTTTCTACACTTCACCTATTTACTTGTGCCAAAATAAGGAATATGTTACTTGTATTGGCAACATCAGACATTTTGAATTTGTTATTAACCCACAAATTCTGAAAGAAATGTAATATAATTGATTGTTGGAAAGGATTTATTATTCTCCGTTAGATGCGCCTATAATATTTGACATCATAATATAATACATAAAATGTAAGTCTATAATGAGATCTATTACAGTAATATGCTCTCTGTTAGATTTAGATTTAAATAATAAGCATCATCAAAAGGAGTGTATGTTGCGCAACACACGTACTTTGAGCATGAATACAATTATTTAAAAAAAAAAAAAAAATGAAACATGAATGTAATTTGTAAATGCAACATGAGGTTGTAACTTGTAACACGATTAACCGATTATGTACATTATTATTTTGCTCATCAATTGTGTTTAAACCTTGAAATAGTTGTGTTTTGTGTTAGAAATAAGTGTATAAAACACAAATACAAACACCGCGTTTTTTAAACAAAGACACTGCTGAGTGCTGTGTGACGATGATCCGAGTTCTCCAAACGACTGGGTGTCTTTTGTTCTTTCTACAAACAGGATAAGAAACCAGTTAAATTAAGCTTACCCATTTACCCTCCATTACCATCCCATGTAACCATCCATTGTCGCTACTCTCCACTTCAAAGTTTTTCAGCAAGATCGGGGCCACTTCAGTCATTAAACACAAAAATCATAGTCAGCTTCGACTGCCAAGTGTAACCCATCTTCTCTCACTCTCTGGCCATACATCCCTCCCCTTCCAATTGATCTTTTCCCCAATGGACGGAAATTCCAATATTGCCCTCGGGTCTCAACCAGCCGATCGTATCAAGCTCAACGTCGGCGGCAAACTCTTCGAAACTACCGTGTCGACTATCCAATCCGGCGGGCCGGACTCACTCCTCGCCGCCCTCTCCAACCGTCCGAGACAGAACCCTACCCCGGTCTTCATAGACCGCGACCCCGAGATCTTCTCCGTCCTTCTCTCTCTCCTCCGATCCAATCACCTGCCCTCCACCGCCTCCCGATTCTCCAAGCAAGAACTCGTCGACGAAGCTTCCTACTACGGTATCGAGTCACAGCTCAAATCGGCGATGTTGCCGTGTCCGCTCATGGGCATCGACGCCTCGTTAGTCGCCACCATCAAGCCCGCCTCCGACGGAATCGTCTCCACGTTCACTGCCGGCGACGAAGACGGATCGGTTTGGGCGGCGCACGGAGGTCAGATCACCGTCTACGATTGGAATCTGACTCACGCCGGTACAATCCGCACACACGTCGAGGATATAACCTCCATCCGCCGCGTCTGGCCGGACGTCGTTGCCGTCGGATCTGACATCTCCGCCGGCCTCCACTTCTACGACTTTTCTAACTGTAGTCGTGTCGGTTCAGCCCACTGGACTGATAAGTCGGATCCGAGGATCTACAAAGCTCGAGCGATGGCGATAGCCGATTCACCTTCTCAAGTCTTCGCGTCCTTCGATTGTCCCCACAGAGAGAACTGTATTCTCGTGATCGACAAATCAAATCTCAAGATTGTGTCAGAATTCGGCCGGCAAACCGGCGGTTCTGTGAAATCCATGGTCGCCGGGAAGCTGACGTACGTGCCGGACTCCGGTTTGCTCGTCGGAAGCGCCATCACGTCCGGTGCATTCGGTTACTCCGGTTACATCCGGTTGTGGGACCCTAGGTCCGGAGACATGGTGTGGGAAACGATTGAGCCAGGCTCGGGCCGAACCAGCAGGTTCGGGGACTCGTTCGCTGACATGGACGTCGACACGAACGAGTCGACTCTGGTCAAGATCTGTTCCAAATCGGGCGATTTGGCGATGGCAGATTTACGTAATTTAGGCGACGATCCGTGGGTGTATTTGAAAGAGAAGAATCCGAGCATGAGCAACGCGGGCGGCGGGGGTAACAATGTGATACATTGTTATAGAAAGCAAGTGTTTGTAAGCAGAGAGGGTGGGTTGGAGGTTTGGTCTAGAATGGATGAGAGAGACAGAGAGTTACTTGAAGGGTCATATAGGAGAAATTATGTGGACAAAGTGGAGGACTCAAAGAGAGGGATCATAAAGAAAATTGAAGGTGGTGGTGATAGGCTGTTTGTTTCCAGAGAAAATGTCGAAGGAATTGAGGTGTGGGAAAGCTCTAAATTTTCCGGTGCAGTTTCAATCTTGTGACCCCCAAATCTATAGATGTACCAAAATTCAATTTTCAATAGGATGAGACTTTATGTCCTCTACATTTTGTGATCTTCTGCAATTTAAATTTGGGTTCATGGTGACCAATTATGGGACATCTTATAAGTTTCAAGGGAAAAAGGGGGAAAGAAAAAGGTGTACAATAGAAAATTAAATTTCTTTATGTTTCGAGCCATTGATTGCATATGAGCATAGGTTCAATGATGTGAAATGAGGCTTTGTACCAAACTCTTATAGGAGTAATATAACACCATCTTTCATCCATCTCACAAGATATGTGATAATTCATCTCAAGTAATGGGATTATTCGTATTTCTTATTCATTTCATGTATTTCGTTGCTTTGTTTTTCATTATATTTTTTGTTTGCATATGTCTAGGTGGGTTAGTACTTTCAGTTGGTTAGTATTTTATTTCTGCTTCTATTAATTTAACTTTTAACATTTTTTTTCTTAAAATAATAATAATAATAATAATAAATTATATTTTGTATTTTCATGTTTGCTGGAAATAATGTTATGCGTTTATGGAATTAAGCCTGATTTTACGTTCCTAAGGTAAAATAAAAAAAATTCTTAGGGTCCATAAAATGAAGGAAAATAAAATTATTCTAAAATTTATTTGGTTAGTATGAATTTTTATTAATAAACTTATGTGAAAAAATCTCATTTCATAGTTTGGATAGTATGAAAGTTAAATACAAAATAGGGTAAAGTACAGAAACACCCCTTGAGGTTTGTTAAAAAGACACACAGAGAAAAGTTTACCTATTTTGAAACAATAACACCCCCTAAAGTTTGATACATCTACCAAAGAAACCCAATGGTATTTTACTTTTTGATTTTTATATTGACTAATTTAAATACTGAAATGACTTTTCTAACCTCATACCCATAACAATTTCTTTCCTTCTCTCCTCTTTATTTTCTCTTCCTCAACCCCCAACACCAACACACACTGTCACACATATACGCACATACTGTCACACAAATGATGCATTCATACTTATTTAAAAAATAATACATCAATTACTTGATACTTTTTCCGCTACTACTACAATAAAAATAAATAAATAAATAAAACAATTAAAACTCATTCTCTTAAAAAATTAGATTCTCCAAAAGAACGTTTAATTTAAAACCGATGGAGTCTAAATTTTTAGTTATATAACTTGTGCGAAAAATATTCTATGTAATTCTTATGATACTGCTTTATTGAGGTGCAAATTTTTCTCTTGACATTATTTTACACGAGTCGAAAAGATACCCACCCAAAATATTTAAAAAAAAATAGTGTTTGCACTAACTTTTTTTTTTTTTTTTTTGGCTCTAACTTCAATATTCTAATTTAGGTCAAATTTCATTGTGTCAAAATATATATTTTTTTAAAGCAACATTATGTCAAATGATTCTACAATAATTAAGTACGATTTTGTACCTGTGAATGGGTGCGGGCCAAAGATGTAATCTATTGTTTTGTTCATTTGATTGATTGAGCACATAAAAAAATTGACATAATGAAATTTGACCTAAATTAGAACATTGAAGTTAGAGCAAAAAAAAACAGTAAACACTATTTTTTTAAAAAAAATATTTTTGGTGGGTATATTTTTTACACGTGTAAAATGATGTCAAGAGGAAAATTTGCACCTCAATAAAGCAATATCATAAGAATTACATATAATATTTTTCGCACAAGTTATACAACTAAAAATTTAAACTCCATTGGTCTTAAATTAAACGTTTTTTTTTTTTGGAGAATCTAATTTTTTAAGAGAATGAGTTTTAATTGTTTTTTTTTTCTATTATTATAGTAGTAGCGAAAAAAATATCAAATAATTGATATATTATTTATTAAATAAGTATGAATACATTATTTGTGTGATAGTATGTGTGTATATGTGTGACATTGTGTGTTGGTATTGGGGGCTGAGGAAGAGAAAATAGAGATGAGAGAATGAAAGAAATTGTTATGGGTATGAGGTTAGAAAAGTCATTTCAGCATTTAAATTAGTCAATATAAAAGTCAAAGGGTAAAAATGTCAATTTATTACTATTGGGGTGTCTTTGATAGATGTATCAAACTTTAGAGGGTGTCATTGTCCCAAAATAGGCAAACTTTCCTCTGAGTGTCCTTTTGGCAAACCTCAGGAGGTGTTACTGTACTTTACCCTACAAAATAATATGATTTACCTAAATTGTCCATTTTATATTAAATATGACATCAGGTCTAAATAAATTTATATTTAATAATTTCTTTTTATATTTTAAAATATAAACATAATATAAGAATTTAAATAATAAAATTTTGTGATACTTAGAGAGACAGGGGTAACTATTACCTATAACATTCTTACCAAAAATCATGCATAAACATAATTTATTTTAGAAATTGAAAAGGGGAATTGGGAGTTCGTACAGTTTTTTTTCAAGAAAACAAAATTTCCTAGTGTTTTTTTGTAGAAAAATTTTGTGGTAAAGTTGTTGGTTATGGAAAGGGTAAAGTGTAAAAAACACCCCTGAAGTATGCTTACAGTGCATATCACACCCCTCACGTGCAAAAAACACCCTTCAAGTTTCAATTTGGTGCAATTAGGTCCCCCTGACACATTTAAAATATAAATTGACCAAATTACCCTTATTAAATAATTTTATAAAATATAGAAAAATATTTTTTTTGTAAGAAGACCAAAAAGGATAATGCTTTTCCCTTATCATCTCTTCAACTCTGCCGCCGCCTCCTCTTCCTGCTCCTCCACATAAGACTGGTTCTTCTTTGCGATGGTGATATTGACTTTATAAAAAGTCCAAAGAGGTGGAAAGGGTAAGAAGAAAAGGCTTCTTTTGCTGTTTGTAGCAGCAATTCTAGATAATTGTTGAAATTCACCTTCGGAAACGACGACGCCTTCGGAAACGGCGTGAGGACTCATGCCGTTGAAATTCACCCCGGCGTGACCAAGATTATGGTCAAAGGCGGTGGCGACAGGGGCGAATTGTTGTTGGATGAGCTGGTGGTGAATGAGTGGAGGTACCGGCTTCTGGCGTCCGTGAGGCGGGAGTTAGCCAGTGCTGTCAGTGCCAACGATGAGCTCGTCATGACGGTGCCGAAGGCCGGAAGGGAATTTGGAGACAGAGGAGAGGGTTGGGGAGGATTAGGCCGGCTCGTCCTTGTACAGTAATCAAATTTAATTTTCTTTTTTATTGCCTGAAATGTGGGTTTTTTTTTTTTTTTTTTTTTTTTTTGTGCATTTTTTTGTTTTTGAACTCTATTTTTATAGAACGCATGAATTGGGTTCTAATGTTTTTCTTGTGTTTCTATCAAGAAACATAGTTTAGTTATCTATAGATATTTAATGTCTTTCAAAAGTGATATTTTTTTACAATTTCAATTCCAAACACCATTCTTAGAATCATTAATGTGTCAGTCAATTAGTTCTTTTTTTATTCATAATTAACTTGGTTTGTGAAGTTAATGTGCGGCTTTCCTTGATATTATTATTATTATTAAATAGTGCTAATGAATCTATGAGTCTATATTAGCATAAACAGAGATAAGAAAATTGGATCTCAGAGACGCAGCAGTAGAATTTGGAATAAACCAATCAATGAATGAACTGACAGAATAAAAGCTACCAACACTTAGGTCCTGTTTGGATTGGCTTTTCAAACGCTGCTTTTGACTTTCTGGGCTTAGAAGTTATTATGAAGGGTGTTTGAATAATTTTATAGAAGAGCGTTTTGGAGAAGCTGGGGACCCCCAGCTTTGGTAAAACGCTCTTCTAGATACACACGGGAAGCCGTTTATGGATTTAATGAATCTTTCAATATGAAAAGCGTACCCTTTTCTTTTAGGCATTGAGAAAATAAAATTGCAACATCTACCATTATAAAAGATATCGTATTATTCCTAAACCCTAAGGACAACTCAAACGAGGAAGATAGTCACTTTCCTTAGATCGTCATTTTCCTTCTAAACCCTAACGACAACTCGCTTTAAGGATTTCTTTCGTTTCAGGCAAGGATACAACATCTTTTCGCTTTAAGGATCTCTTTCGTTTCAGGCAAGGATACGACATCTTTTACTTTGTTGTATATGAATGATTGATTATATTTTGTATATAAATGTTGGATTGAATGTATGGTGTGAAGTTTGGAGTGACCAAAATTTTGAACTAATTAATCGTACTGTTTTTCTTAATCAATTTTTTATTTATGCCCTAATCGATCACGTGAATGTTGTATTATTAAACCTTCATTTTTGTATTAACAATCATTTTTCCATGATATATGGATGCATATACATATACAACATTATAACATTTGTTATAAATATGTTTTTTATACTGTATTTGACATATTATTATAAGTATGCTTTTTATACTGTGACTGAAATATTGGAGAAAACTTTAATAATAATTAAAGTATCGAGTACTGTATTCTTTTACTTTGTTGTATATGAATGATTGGCTCGACTTTGTATATGAATGTTGGATTGAATATATGGTGTGATGTTTGGAGTTACCAAAATTTTGAACTAATTAATCGTACTGTTTTTCTTAACCCATTTTTTATTTATGCTCCTGATCCATATGTTGCATCATTAAATAACCATTTTTGTATGAACAACCATTTTTCCATGATATATGGATACATATACATATACAACATTATAACATTTGTTATAATTATGCTTTTTATACTGTGTTTGACATATTGATATGAGTGTTTGTGATTGAAATATTGGAGAAAACTTTAATAAGAATAATTGTAATCTTTTACTTTATTGTATATATGAATGATTGATTATATTTTGTATATGAATGTTGGATTGAATATATGGTGTGAAGTTTGGAATGACCAAAATTTTGAACTAATTAATCATATTGTTTTTCTTAACCCAATTTTTTTTTTTAATTTATGCCCTAATTGATCACGTGTATCATTCACGTATGAACATTGCTGTATGGATACACATACATACATATATGTGTGAACACTTAAACAATCATTTTTGTATGAACAACCATTTTCCCATGATATATGGATACATATACAACATTATAACATTTGTTATACTTATGTTTTTTATACTATGTTTGAGATATTGTTATGAGTATACTTTTTATATTGTGTTTGAGATATTGGAAAGAACTTTAATAATAATTAAAGTATCTAGTCCAATGCGTAATCACCTTTCATTCTTTATTAATCACCTCTCATTTTTTATTATTTAATTTTTGTTTTGTTTTGATTTTTTTTTTTTTTTTTTTGTTTTTTCAGTTTTGTGATGGAGAATGATAGTGATATTGAGAAAGACATATATGA